GAGCCTCCTTTGGACTTGGCACTTGGAGATAGGATGTAGAGCATAGTGTCCAGGTGGAATGTGGCTTGGAAAAGCGCACCAGCAAGTACTGTCATCATAAGCTATGTATGGCTTTAGAAGTCAAAACCAGCATCTTGAATTGGGCTCAGAAGCATGCCGGCAGTTGATTCAAGTGGACCAGGACTGGTCTTATGCAATGAAATGCATGGGTCCCAGTTATTAATCTGGCCACCACATTCTGCATGAGCTGCAGCTTTTGAACAGTCTGCAAGGGTAGCCCCAGATGGTGTGTTTGCAGTAATCTAATTTAGAGATTACCAGATTGTAGGTTTCTGAAACTAAGTTGTACCTGTCCAGAAAATGCACAGCAAAGCTACTAGCTCAAGCTGGTAGAAAGCACTCCATGCCACTGAGAGTACCTATGAAAAGATGGATTAAGGAAGACCCTCATCCAGGGGAACCCTTATCCAGCACAGGTTGAACACCCTCCATCTGGTCAGAGGAACCACCCACCAACAGTGTCTCCGCCTTGTTCTGCCTGAGCTTTGGTTTGTCAGACTTCATCCAATGCAGACACTGATTTAGCACATCCACAGCCTCACTTGAGGCAAAACATAGAGCTGCTTGGCTCCAAAACTCTGGCTTACCTCACTTGGTAGTTTCATGTCGATGCTGAATAGCATGAGAGACAAGACTGACCCCTGAGGAACACCAGAATGGTGAATCCACGGGGCTGAGTAGTATTGCCAAGTTCCACTTTCTGGAGCCATCCATCCAAGTAAGAGAGGAACCACTTCAGTGCCGTACTCCGCATTTCCAGTCCAGACAGTTACCCCAGAAGGATACCATGGTTGATGGTAATGAAATCCACTGACAGATCTAGGGTGATAAACAGGGTCATATTTCTCTTGTGTCTTTCCCACTGTAGGTCCTCATACTGGCTGTTTCCATGTCAAAACATAGCCTGAACCTCAATTGAAGTGATTCCAGATAATCTCATTCAAAAGTGTGTGGAGCTGGTTGGCTACCACCCACTCAAGGACCTTGCCCAGGAAAGAAATATTTCACACTGGCCTATGCTGTTAAGATCTTCTGGGTCCACTGAGGGCTCAGCACCATCTCTGTTACAGTGGACTTTGAATGAACCTGAGATTTTTTTAAGGTCAGCATATAGTAGACCTTGCACAACCCAAAAAGCTCCACTGGATGGTGCATAGAAGTCTGAACAGACACATGGAGGTATTGTTTCTTTGACAACCCGAGCTGCCCTTGTGTATATCTCATTATTATATTGCATTACCTTGCATTTATATCCAGCCTTTTTTCCTCTTGCAAGGAACCCATGGTGGCTTATACAGTGCCAGTGTCTCCTCATAACAACAACTCTATGAGGAAGGTTAGTAAAGAAGGTCAGAACATGAAAAGAGGACCAGAACATGGCATACTGTCAACTGTCTAGGCCATGATTCCCTCACCTGGCTAGCTCTCCTTCCAAAGCCATTTCTCCCTCTACCCATCTCCACACCGATAGGGTTTCTCCAACATCCCCCCACTCAGCCCTCTATTCACTCCCCCAGGTACATATTAAGGCCCTATGATGGGAACTAGTTCCCCACCAAGGGTCCAATTTTTAATTCCTGTGCTGTTGATGAGGGAAGCTGCATGCCATGCCCCTTCGGTTCTCACCCTTTGGCTCACACTGGAGGCTGATATATCCACAAGAAGTGGTACAGAAACAAACACATAGTACTAGTTCCCAGCTGATTTCACTCTCCCTCAAGGTCCCAGGCTCTGCTGCAACTCACTGTATGTGGGCAAACTTCATTCACTGGAAATATGTCAACAATGACATCTAAATTAGGCTGGGTACAATTGATTATACTTGCATTGTCAGACAAATTGGTAACATTGAGCTATCAAATAGTCCTCATCTTCTTCTCACTGGCCAGAGTGTAATAGGACACCTGAAAAAAAAGCCCCACTGGGCAAATTTGTGCAGGTGATGGTGAAGTATGATTACTTTGCTGCCTCGCTGGAATAGGGTTTCAGATGAGCCCCACCCCATGTTTGATCAGACTTGCTTCAAGTTTTCTGCCACCAACCCTCTAGCCAATGTCCCAAAGAGTCAATGTTTGGCTCCACTGTTTGAAAAGATGCTTTCTATTTGGCCCCCTGCACAGCACCTGATCCCAATGCTCTATCCCCCCATATATTCAATTTGCATGAGTCATTTTCTTCCAAGCTGTGTCAGAGAATAAGAGCTTTTTGACCATCTCTCCTGCATATGAGCAGTAAAAGAGGCTTTGGCAGAGCCCCTCTTCTTAGCCACCTTGCACAAGCCAAGACAGGAAATGGCAAAGGACAGCTGATATTCTTGGAAGCTCTCCGCCAGAGCCTTTCTTGCTTTAGGGAAGGGAATTAGCAGTGATAGGGAGAGACAGAATGTGACATGTAGGAAGAAGCAACCACCAAGCAGTGACAACCTTGGGAGGGAAGCACAGCTTCCCTGGGAGGCATCACAAAGGGATGAGTGTAAAGGGCATCCATGTCAGCACCGCACAGGTACACAGATGCTACCTGGTCAGGAATGCCTACCTGTGGGCAGCAGCCAGCTGGCAACTGCACGCTCACGTTGCTGCAACTCCCAGCAGTTCACTCCTCAGCGCTCTGGGCTCTTCTTCCATGCTCCATTCCTCTGTTAGCTGTTGCCGCCACAGAGCTCTTGGCTTGCATGGGAGTGAATCAGTGGGAAGAACTGATTTCAATCCTTCCTCACTGGAAAATACAACACTTGCCACACAAAAAAATAAATAAATAAAAATAAAAAAATCAATTACTGAGCACCTTTTAGGCTATTGTCATATTATAGAGGATGGTGCTGCCCTATGCATGCCCAGTGCCATTGGGAAAGTGCTTTCATGTTGCTCTTGAGGAAATGGCACCAGTAAAATTGGGCCAAGAAAGGAATTTACTGAGTGATTGTGACTGGGGTGGTTTTGTGGGGGACAACACATTCTTTGAATTGAAAAACAGCTCATTCTGTGGAGGAAATGGGTGTACTCTCTGCATGAGATATGAAAAATATGGATAATATGTTACTAGAACACGAGGCAAATTTTCTGGGAAATACCTTCAGTCTAGAATATGAGTAATTTTTGAAACTGAGGACCTGGTCATAAGCTCTTATTTGGCCATAATGTGATTGTACCCTACCCTCAGTAGTTTGCCAGAAGGAGTCCAGCTGAAGACAATAAATGCTTTGGAAATGAGAGATTATCAAAGCGGAATCTTGCAATGAATGCCCATGCTTGCTGCCTTCTTCAGGTGACCAGCGCAAAAGGTGAATTCTCCAGGCACAGAATGTTTTTAATGACGGAATTAGGAAGCAGTTCCAAGTCAAGGAATCTCAAGTGTTAGATGTCAACATGGGAACTTAATAGCAGATAGGGAAGTTGTGATATTGGTTAGGGAGTACCAAGAGTTGCCGCTTCCATGCAGATAAAATTCTATTTTTGAGCTCTTTACTACAATACTTGGGTATTATTACGGGAAGCATCTGCTCACCAGCCGCATCTAATAGCCATTAAAGATAACAATAAATACATGTAGCCAATTCTGTGGAGAATAAATCCGTGCAATTCAAGTGGGCTTGGCCCTGTTAGAAGAAAATGTGACCAGCCAGAGCAAGTGAGGATGACTGAGTTGCAACACATGCATTGTTCAGTGTATAAATAACTACCTGAACAGGTACTTCCTTGGGAAGTACTGAGGAAAGCCAATCCAAGATCTTGAAAATGGATTGAGTCTGTAGATTCCCTTAGGGAGCCAAGCAGGCATTATTTTAGATCTGAGTCTAGCAGCTACATCTTTTATTTATTTTTACTCTACAGTAGGTACAAAGGGCCTGATTTGGGCTTTAAATGCCCACTTGGCCTGTACATTAAGGTCCCAGTTTGAACTGGGGGCCTTCCAACTATAAAGAAAGAAAGAACCCTTATCTTCTAGGCACTGATAAAGTACTGTCTGTTTAGGCCCACAGTCTCACATGCCAAATATGAAAGAAATGTGTCTGTGTCACGTCCCGTTTGACCAGCATTGTGTTTAAGCAAGTTGCCCTGCCTGCACCACAGCAGCATGCCAGAGAACCATGGCCAGGGTACCGGCCCTACTGATGTGTGTACTGCAGATGTACCAGCCAACAGCTCAGTTTAAACATGAAACGATACACAGAATAGGTAATGTTTCATTTCATCATATGTAAATTGGGCCCCCTTTTCCTGCCTTGCTGCAGAAAACCTGCCAAATGCCTCCTGGCTGTTAGTGCTGGGAATCCTCTACGTTGGAAATCCCCTCCATCTCTCAGCTCCCTCAACTGCCGCCGAGGGAGGAGAAAGAGGAGGTCGGTGGAAAGAGTGGCTCTGCGCAATGGGAGGCACACAAGCATCCCAGAGGACAGGGGCTGTCTGGAGCCATGCTGGGGTGGGAGAGGCCAGGATGGCAGAAGTACGGCAGCCGGGCACAACTGTGGAAAACACAGGCACCCGAGAACCGTTGGGAAGAGGCCGGACCTGCACAGACCCAGCACTTGACGACGGGGCCACCCGGCTGGCCTTCGGGATGGGCTTTGGATGAGGGTGACGCCGGCAAGATGAGGAAGGCGGCGGGCGGCAGGGAAACAGGCGAGGGAGCGCAGGGACTTCGGAGCAGGCGAGGGAGGAGAGCGCAAAGCGCGAAGGCATCCCGCCGCCCGAATGGCTCGACTCCCGCGGGCCAGCTGCGTCCGGCGCGCCCGGGAGCCGGAGCGGAGCCCCGCGGGCCGCCCAGCCCCGCCCAGCCCGCTGCGCCCGCCAGCATCCCAGACGATCGTCCCTCCCCTCGGTCTGTGGTGAGGGTGGGCGGGATGGAAGGAAGGAAGGAAGGCAGGCGAGGGACCGCGAAAGGAGGAGAGCTGCAGAGGCGGCGGGCGGGGAGGAGCTGGCGGCGGGCGGGGAGCGGGGCGCGCTGCCACTCCAGGCATCCGCGATCATCACGTCCATTGCCCAGAGAGGGAAGAAGACCAGGCGGGCTAGCGCGCCCCGCGCCTCCTCCGAAGTCCCGCGGGCGGCTACAGCAGGAGCGAGCAAGATGGTGAGAGGCTCCGCGGGAGTCGGGATCGGGGCCTCGCGAGGGGTTGGGAGGCGAAGAGGGCCCCGAAGTTTCTTCCTCCTCCCGCACGCTAAGTCCCTCATGTCTCCCCCCTCCCCCTTTTCCCACTTGGCAGCACTGGAAGAGCGTCTCCGTCTTCGTCGCCCTGGTGGGGACCGTCGCGGCGCTCCAGGCTGAGGTAGGAGATGCGATGGAGGGACAGGCCGCGCTCCTTGCCTTGCGCTGCTCGGCTGCGCCGGCACCCTGGGGAAGGCGCCTCGCAGATTTCGGCGTGCAGAGGGCGGGGGGCTGGGGCTGAATTCCAGGGACCAGGCGCCAGGCCGCGCCAGCTGTGTGAGCCGGCGGAGCGCCCCGCAGCGCATGCTTGCTTTCATCTGGGGAAACAAAAGCGCGAAGGACTGAAGCTCGGGAAGGAATAACGGATAGACTGGGGTCAGGGCGAGAGATGGCTCGGTGATATATTTTCTGCAGAGCAACAACTTTCTCCCAGAGCGCTGTGATTATGCTCCACCAAAGTTTTCATCTGGGTTAGCCAGACAGGAAAATAGCTTTGCTTTCCTGTGGAAACAATCGTGGAAAGTGCATTTCAGGCGGGGGCCCAGGCGTGTGTGGGGAGAGCAAAACCTGGAGATCTCCAGTTTATACCGAACCTGCCTTTTATGCCTATGAAGGCAATAAGGGGTTGCCAATGAAATGAAGTCTGAAAGGCCTGCTTAGGAAGTCTTCATAGTGGCATCTACTTGCTTTGGCATCCTTTTCCGAAGAGCCTGTGCTTTACAAAGTAAATTTTTTGTTAGTGTAAACACAAGCAATGTTGACTAGAAATGCAAGAATGGTGTCTGAATTCCCAGAGTTTCAGACTGCCTCCCTGAAAGTGAGGTCATTGACAAAGTATTTGATCATTATGGCTGGAAAAATGTGGAAGTGATTAAAGAAAATGAGCTCAAGCTGCTTCAGGCAGAAGGACAGAATATACATTATGAGGATCTGAGGTCCCCAGTGGGTTCAACCTTGCCCTCTTTCCTGCACACATTTTCCCCTCCTGTTATGTTGACTGCAGATTAACAGAAAAGGAAGCAAATTTCTCCCAGGACCATTAAAATTGGGCTTTGAGCAATAAATAAATAAAATTGAATAATTTTCTGAGGAAAAAGTATTCCTCATTCCTTTGTTGCAACAGCAATAGAGAAAAGTTTTGTAACACTAGAGCGGAAAGTCTAATGCGTTTCTTTTTCAAATGTCTATATTTTAGTCAGGGGATAAAGTCAGCCATGAAGCAGCCTGGGAATAGTTGTCTGAGGCAAGAATTTTTTCACAGAGCAAAGGAGAAAAGGGGTGGGTAACACCTCAGGCACAAAAGCAAGGGAGTCCTTTCAGAGCTGGCTGCTTGGTCGCTGGCAGAACCCTTGGTGAACTCTGCTAGGCGAGTCTGTGCGGGCCTTACCTGCCATGGCTCCCTGGCCTCCCAAGGGACGTTCCGGCCTGCTTGTAGAGAAGGCACCCTTCTGTGTGGTAAGTGACTGGCAGCTGTTCCCCCAACCAGACCTTCCTCTACTTCAAACCCTCTTCCCCAGTGTCATGATGCCAGAGCTCTTTTACAACCATTTAAAGCCCTCTTGCCTTTTCACAGACATTGCATGTTGGGTTAATGTGTTTATTTACAGTTCCAAGATACTTTTCCTGGCCAATCACTGCCAGCTCACATCTCTTCAGCTTTTATGTGGAACTGGGATTTTTTTTTTTTTTTGCTGAATGTGCATCATCTGCATTTGCCAGTGTAATGCTCCTTCCCATCTGGAGCCCTTTGTTGTCCCTATTGCTTTCAACAGTACCAAATAAACTGGTGTTGCCAGCAGATGTGATCATTTCACTGCTAATTCCAACTCCAGATAATTTATAAGCAACTTTAAAGGCACTGCCTACAAGAGCTCCTTCATCTCACCGTCGCAAAAACTAACAATTCATTCCTACTCTCTGCTTTCTATTGTTTAATCAGTTTCTGATACATAAGAAGACAACTCATATTTCATGATGCTACATGTGCTCAGAGACACTTTGAGCATACTGGGTGGTTTGCTGCTTTGTTTCTTTATGAAGTAAAACAACACTATTTTGTCATGAAGCGAGGTGGGGAACTGGTTTCTGACTCTCCATGGGTTGGAAGACATTGTGGATGTGGCCATGTCCCCAGCCATCATTTGGTCCCTGGCTGTCCCACCCATGACTTCTGCTGGGAACCTGGCCTTGCTGTGCATTGGTTTTGCTCACTGGGGAGGCCCTCGTGCAGTGAAGCTTCTGCAGCTGAGGATTAGCTTTTCCCAGTGTATTAGCCAGGACCATCTGCCTTCACGCCCTCTCTTATAAAGGTGTGGGGTAATGAAACTGGGCTGCCCAAGCGTCTTTTTCATCCCAACTGAGAGAAGAGATTCAGCCCTCCCAGCTGGAATCCCCCATTATAAGCAGTCTGATTTGTGATCAGAGATAACAAGGGAGTCTCCTTTTGGTCACCTGCCCTTTCAGTGGCAAGGGAGCAATGTGCAAGGCGATCTCCTGGTCATCTCCTGTCACAGTTTCCCCACTGCTGCTGTAGATACACTATTAGTGTTAGCACATCCTCTTGCCTGATTAATTGCCTGTTCCTGAATGGTTTTCACTGAATTTTTCCTGGTTCTGCATTCCTCCGGATTTCCGTTATGCCTATGCTTTCTATGATCTTTGAGAGCATCCACTCCAATATTTCTGTCTTGAATCAGAGACTTCCAGCTTTAACCAAGAATGATCTATATGTGGTTTCTAGCATGTGCACTTTCCCTGTGGTCCTTGACTGACTCTTTATGTTTTACTGTATGCTTGTAGCCTATTCCCATCCTGTCCTCATTGGGAAATGATAAATATTTTTATTCTCAAAAGGTTATTCAGCCCTGTAGAAATCTCACTGCTCCCGTTGGCTTTCACCCAGGGTTTTGTTTAAGAGCTGCTCTGCCAACTTTTTGAGGTTAAACACTAACAGTTTGGCTGCATTCTGTTTCATGCAGAGCCCATCCAGATTTGGCTTCTCCTGAAACATCCCACAGTGCCTAATAAATCCAAACCCCTCTGACCTATGCTGCCATCTCATCCATTCATTGGACCCCTCAGCCTTGCCAGACTGCTTGGCCTTGTGCATGGAACAGGTGATACAGCAGAGAAAGTAACCTTAGACACAGTGATTGGGAATGTCCCTACATAGCTCCCTACAATCCCAGTAAGAGACCCCACAGTATCTCTGACTGACTGCATCAGTGAGGAAGTTAATGTGGCCATTTGGACAAGTTCACCCATGTTGTGCGAGGAGCTGCGTTTCAAATGTTCTCCAGTAGCAGCTTGTTCTCCTCTATGCCCTATTTCTAATGGGCAAGGAAAATGGATCATGTGCAATGAACATAAGAGCCCTGCTGGATCAGACCAAATATTGCTCTAGTCCAGCGCCCTGTTTCCCACTGTGGATGCTTCTGAGGACCTTACAAGCAGAATCTGAAAGTAGTCACAGGATCCATTGGCTTAATGTTGCCTCTGAGACTGAAGGTTCAGTATAGCTGTGGTGACTAATGGGCATTAATAGGTTTTTCTTCCATGCACATTGGCAGCTTTATTTTCAACCCCTTTCCAAATAATTCATGACACAGAATTGATTTATTACGTTCCACATTTCCCCTCTTTTTTACAGCTGCTGCACACTGTATTATCTTCACTGACGTATCTGTCACAGCCCTGAGATCTCTTTTCTCCTTAATTGCCATCAGCCCAGACCCCATTGGTGCATAAGTGAAGTTAGAATGTTTTGCCTCAATCTGCAGCACTTCACACTTGACTACAGTCTGTTTCTGAATGTTCCCTCCATGCAATTAATGGGAGAGTTGGACATATCAGCGGGCAGTCTGGCAGTGCAATTCTGTGGCCACCAGACAGCTTCTAGTTGGCCACAGGATCTTCTGGAATCCCAGCTATGGAGGTGGAAAATCATTCCAACCTTGTAGCTGCGGATCCACACTTGGTTCCTCCAACCCACCCCTCACAGTTGCTGTGGAGAGAACTGCACTGGCAGCCTCCGAGAAGGGGCTTAGGGGGCATTCTGAGTTGTGGGGAATGGGGAGTCCAGCACTGCCAAGATGTGATGTTTCCTGATGATGCCTTATCCTCCTTTCCTCTCCCTCCAAAGTGTCACACTTAGATGGCCAAAATTGGCTAAGTGCTTTATAAGGCTGCACTTTTACCCTGACATTCCCTCACCCTCCATAGGATGCCCATAAGGGAGGGTTCAGGGCATCCCCAAAGGAATATGCCATAAATGTGTGGAACAGCCTTCCCCTTTCAGATGGGGGGAACCCAGCAGTGGGATGCAGTCCCGCCCAATCCGCTGTGATTATTGCTAGGGCAATGTTTGAAGCTATTTGCCATTTTGTTACCCATTCCCTCATTTTGAAGAAGGTCTTGGGAGAACTCTTGCCAATTTGCTTTGTACCACACTGAATGGTTTGGTATCATCCCCTATGGGGGCAGCTCCTTGCTCACCTCTAACACAAGATAACTTATGAACAAGTTTAAAAACACTGGTCTCATTGCAGATCCTTGGGGGACCTCAGCTGTCTCTATTGTGGGAACTGTTTGTTTATTCCTCTCCTTTGTGCCTCATTTTTTAACCAGTACTTGATTTCCCCATATTGCAGGTGAAAAGGCATAGAAACATAGCAAGTCGGAAGGAGCCTCCTAGGCCATCTAGCCTGACCCCTGGCACAAACTGCCTCCACTCATATAATGTCCAAAGTGTGGGTGTCCAACCTTTCCTTGAATGCTTTCACTGACAGGGCCTCAACCACCTCCCATGGAAGCCCATTCCATATCCTAGGGGCCTTAACCATCAGGAAATAGAACATCTAGCCTAAAACCCAGTTCCTTTAGTTTTGCCCCATTGGATCATGTCCTTCTTTCCATCACAGGGAAGAACAGGTCATGAACCTCTACCTTGTGACATCCCTTCACATACCTGTATATTGCTATAAGATCCCCTCAGAGTTTCCTTTTCTTCAAACTGAAAAGTTCCAGTTCGCTCAACCTCACTTATCCTTTTCTTCAAACTGAAAAGTTCCAGTTCTCTCAACCTCACTTCATATGGCACCCCTGCCCGCCCCCCCCCCACCA